CTGAAAACTTCTGAGCCTCGAGGGAGAGTGCTGATGGGAATGCAGAATTCCTAATCATTGTGCCTGGCTTGCTGGGTAAATCATCAAACACAAGTGTACAAAGAATAATTAATCTTAACAGGAAGCTGGCACTGGGACAGCTGGAGATGGAGTTAATTTGAGGGGAGGGAGGAGGGAAATAAGTTTGTTCAGAGCAGGGCAGGCAGCCCCGGTCGCTGGCAGGAGCGTGCTGGAACAAAGGCTTGTGCTGCTCGGGGATGCTGGAGCACTTTCCTCTCAACTCAGCGGCTTCCAGGGGCCATGCAGATTATTTCGGTCCTGCTGCCTGCCATTTAGCGAGGCTTCTTGCGGGCAGAAGTGTAATGTTAAAATAACAGCCCTCTCTCCCAGGTCACTAACAGTAAAGAAACTGCAAGTGCTTTCCAGCGCAGATTTCAGCACTTTGCTATTCTCCACTCTATTATTTAGCTGTCCAGGTTTATGCAGTGATGACTTGACTTTAAATTCACTCCCTTGAACTACAAAGCTCCAGACACAAGTACCTACGTCTGTTCATGCTCCAGAAGGACACAGGTACATAATTCCCATTTCTACAGAGCAGAAATCATAATTTCCTTATCTATTCTTACCTCTTATATAGACAAGTGAGAAAGCTGGTGGTTTTTCACCACCAAGCTTTCAGCCAAACTGGGGGTTGAAAAGCAGGTCATTTGAATCCCAAGTCATGTGTCCAAAATAAAAGATGACTTCTGTTTCCTTAGGAGGGCAGTGGGAAGAAGTTTGGGTTTGGCTAACGTGTAAGGTGGTTCTGACGTGCCCTTCCTGGGGGAAAGGGGTGACACTGTGTTGGCCACGATTCTCTGCACCACTTGACCTCTGAAACAGAGGAGGACATTGGTCCTGCAGAAAGGCTGCGGGCTGCATAGGAAAGTGATGTTGAAAGGATAGATTCTGTCCCTGGTTAGCAGTCTGAAGCTTGCTCTATCCTGAGATGGAAATCTGTCTTCTGTAGAGGTGGATTTCAAATGTCAGTGCTTGGCAGCATATGTCACCGATAACTCATCAGGGTGGGGGAGACCCCACAGCTGGTCTCTGCTTTGGGGTGCAGTGTGGCAAGGGAGCGTGGTGCCTGCAGGGCACCCGCAAACTCGGTGGGGTTGGAAGGCAGGACCAGATCCAAAGCTGTCACTGTCCCCAGCGATACCGGCAGTGCCCGGTGAGGTCCTCGAGCCGTCTGGCATCCGCTAGCGGTGGTGGGTGCCAGGACGAGGCGAGGCTGGCAGTGATGCGCAGGAAAGCTCATGTATCGCTCGGCAGTATCGCTCCGGCAGGCTGGATGGCTCCTGCTATAGGGGAAGTGGATTAACTTTCTTTTCTCATTGTCTGGAGTGAGACAGCAGGGAGCTGTGTGGCCAAGTCTGTCTGAGGCGTGGAACAAAAGAGGGATTTTTGCTCTCCTGGCTGGCTTGCTGCTAGAGCTGCAACTCCTCTGGAGTCAATAACTAATCACGAGATTGTTTTGTGTCTCGTCGCTGCAGTGTGTGCCTCTCTCCGCTGCTCCCCCGACCCATCACCACTTGTGCTCATCTGAAAAAGTCTTGTTTGCCGCTCTCCTTGGCGAGGAGACATGCTGCGGCCTCCCCTCTCTTGTTTAACAAAATGGGAGAACAAGCGGAGTGGAGTTCTGTCTGTCTGATTTGCTTCCAAGTGTGACAAACGGGGTGTGAGTGCTTATTCCTTCCCTGGAGCAGTGCAGAGCTGGCAGAGATGTAGCTTGTCTTTCGGGCCGGGAGTCAGGTAGGCAGTAGGGAGGCTCCCTGGCTGGAAGGAAGGAGTCCGTGGGTTTACGTCCCTGCCCTGTGGAGGCAGCTCCCCATCCTCAGCATGGCCCCGCAGGCAGGTTTGGGCAAGGGGGAGTAGCTGGGGGTGGTGGTGGCTCGGGCCAGCCCCTCTGCCAGGGGAGGTGTGGGCGCATGGATGGGCGTGCTCCGCTCCTAGCGTGTTGTGGAATACCTTTTGCTGAAGGTCATCCTCGAGGAAGAAGTACGGCTGTAGAAGCCTCATAGCTGCCACTTGACTTGGCGAAGTGTGGCTAGAGGCTGTTATGACCAGGAAGAGTAGGACGGACATGCAGACCATCCTTATCCAGAGAAGGGGCTGCTTGGACTCTTCCAAGACAAGAAGGATGGTTGGGTTGTGCTGCGAGGCTGCTGCAGACCCGACCTGTGCAAAAACGTAGAGAAAGGTGCTCTGCCAGGCATTGGGGCAAGTCTTTCCTCCTCCTGCTCAGCTCAGATGCTCCTGAAACAGCCTGGCAGGCACACCAGGGGCTGGGTTTTGGTTTGGTGCCTCTTCTCTTGAGGGCTGATTGCTGAGATACCCATGGTACAGCCTTTAGGCTACTGTTCTGACCTCTGAAGTCTGGTGACGGGGATTGCTGTGGAAGTTAATTACCTCTTTGTGCTGCTTTTATAATCTGTTGCTCTTCAAATCTCTGGTGTGGAAGTGCAAAGTGCTTAGGAGAGGAGAAAATGAGCAAAGGACCAGACTGCTGCCAGTCAGCGGATTTTTGTCTTGTGCACGGTTGTGCCTGCGTGTGCTCAGTCCGTGGGTCTTGTTCAGGATTTGAAATGGGAGGTGAAATGGCTTCAGACCACCACGATGTGCAGGCTACTGCTTCCTTGTGACGGCTTTTAAACAGCAACTCCACATCCCCCAACTCTCTTTAGCCAATTAAAATTAGCTGATGGGGTGCCAGTGTGAAGTGTGAGCTGGGTGTTTTGCTGTGAATAGAGGTTTTTCACCAGAAAGTGCTTAGCTGTGGCTGGGTACTGCTTTGTCCAGCATCAGGTACTGTGTTCAGAAGGGTGGTCAATGCCATGGGGTTAAATTTGAATGGCTTCAGCAAACTCCCACAGGTGTATCGGGACCCTGAGATGCTGGATGATGGCAGTGGAGAGGATCTGGGGTGTCCTGAGGTAAGGATGGACGCAGCATTTGACCCCCTTGGCAGGGTGAGGGTGGCAAGCTAGTGCCAGTCTGGAATTATTCAGAGACCTAGTGTAAAAACACCCCGACCTTTGAGCACCTTTAATCTCGATTATCAGATATCCATAGCAAAAAAGCTGTTTCCAAGAAGCATGAATCATTTCTGGAGCACTAATGCTTATAACTTCCAACCCTTTGTTCTTGCTGACGGAACCGTGCTCTTGGTCGTTCTGGCTCCAGCAGCTCAGGCCAGAGGTAACGGTGCTGCTGCAGCACGCTCTCCATCCCTCCCCAGTGCACCTGCCTGAATCCCAAATGCTCCCTGCAATAAGACTTGAATAAAACTGGCTCGGAAGGCAACATCTCCAGGGAGGAAAGCTCAGCATGTGGGTATGAGTTGGTGCTTTGTTGATGAGGAGTGTCAGTATAGGATTGAATGTCAGATTCAGGGGTTTTGCTCTCAGTCCCGAATTCTCCGTTTTCTGTCTGCTTGGACCTCTGCAGGTGTCCAGCCTGACCGTGAGGACTTAGCAACTTGTAGCACTCCTAGCATAGTGGGGATTTGTTATGTATCTTGTGCTGTGATAATAACAAGAACATAAGTCGTTTTTCCAAACTGAGGATCTTGCTATAAATAGAAATCCAGCTGCTTGCATTGAATGGCATCAAAGAAAATCATAGGAGCAGCTCTTATGCAGAATGAAGTGGATTCTGGCTGCTTTCTGCGAAGATGCTGGGGCTGGGGGAGGGGGATTTCTTGACAACCGAGACGTGCGAAAGCAATGCTCGAGAGCTCTCTGTGGCGTGTGAAATCTTCAGCAAGGAGCAGGTGAGGCGAGGCGGCCGGGATTTCCCATCGCGCCGTCCCACGCTGCACCTTCCTGCCTCCCCACCAGAGAACCTGCCTGCGCCGGTACCCAGGCAGAATGAGGAGTCACTAAATGCAGGGTTGCTTTACTGCTTATAAATAAGGCTTTTCAGGAAAAGGCACTTGAAACCTCCCCTGCTAGGGGGAGGTGAGCTGGCTCCGGGCTTGTGCCTGAGAGCTGCAGCAGTGCTAAATCACTTGGAGGTGTCTCAGCAAATTCTAGCTGCTGACTTGCGAGTTCAGCGCCTGGAGCGGAGTGGCAGGGTGGATGTGCCTTCATGCAGAGTTACGCGTGGTTGCTTGTCCCCTGTACTCTTCTCTCCCGGTACATGGGCTCCAAGCCCTCACCAAAACTGTTGTTTCCAGGATGGCTGAGCACTCCTGGACTTGCTGCTTTAGTCCTCCTCAGTCCATCGGAGACAGAGGCTTACTGAGGATGCCTGGTTATGGTAATCCTGTCTGTGCTCAACCCTTTCAGCCCCAGGTGCGCGTGGTGGGGGTGTCCAGCCTGAAACAGGCTTTTTTCTGGCTGACCGGGTGCTGAGCTGACTTTGTGGGTGCTGCTGTCTGAGGACAGGGAGTGTGTGCTGGGGAGTTCATGCCCAGGAGCATCCCTGGAGCCCCAGGAGGGGATGAAGGAGCATCACCACTTCTCCTGAGCGTCTGCATTGCGTCTGCAGGGCTGGCCGTTGCTGAGAAGACCAGGTGACCTGTGTCAGGCCATGTTTTGGGCGACAGTGAGGATCTGCCAAAATGAGCACCAGCCAACAGGACTTGTTCTGGCCTTCACTCCTAGACAAGTGTATCTGAGAGTCTCAGAAGAAAATGAGCGTGACTCAGTCCCACAGCAGAGTCTGGCCCACAGGAGCCCTTGTGCTCTGGCATTACAGTAAGCCTGTTAAGCATGAATTTCCAGAACTCTTTGAAGCCTTTATTTAGAAAGAGCCTGAAAAGGGAGTAGGCTCTGGTGAATCAACCTTTTTGTGGTAACTAGAGAAACCTGATCAGTCGGCTGTTTATCTGCCTGCAGTGGCTTTTACACCCATTGTGGAGGGGTGATGCTCCTGCAGCGGGGGCAGAGGGGCTGTCTGGTGGGGCAGAGCTCGTTAAACCTGCTCCGAGGTGTGGGAACAACACTGCGGAGATGGCGGTGGTCGCAGACAGAGGTGTGTTCCCAGGACATCAGAGAGCTCGGCCTCCCTGGCTGCTCCTGGTGTCAGGTGAATTGCCCCCTTGTTCTACCAGAGGTGGGAGAAGGTGCGTGCCTTTGCACTTGCTGGGAGAGAACAATAGAGTTTGTTAATGAGTTTAAAGGGGCAGTTTGTTACAGTGTGGACTTGGCTGGTCTTAAAGCACCCAGCAAATGCCTCCTGGGACCTGCAGTGCTGTGTAGTAGACTGCGGTGGGGTTTCTTGCCCTGTTCTTCCTTTTTTAGACAGCCGTGAAGTGTACCAGAATATCTTAATTGCTTTGACTTAAAGTAGCGCTAAGTGCTGGGTGGAAACCTATTTCAGTTTGGGCAAGCTATTAAAAAAGAGGTTCCTCTCTTCTGTTTCAGCACTGCTCAGCCGGAGGAAGGGTGGCTGTGGTCCCTGGCTGGCTGAAGTGTTGAGAGCTGGCAGGTCCTGGCATCCGTCAGTGTTCCTGTGAGCCGGGGTGAGCTGCTGGCTCTGCTCCACTTGTCTGGCTGCACGTTGGGCATTGGGGACTTGCAGTCCCCTCCCACAGGGTTGTTCTAGGGGCCAAACACTAAAGATTAAGATGCTGTGACTACTTATGTATGTACAGCCATGTCCTGAAGAGCACAGCTTGCTTAAATTGAGGTTGCCCGAGGCTCACAAAAGCAAATTGAAGTTGCTCAGATCCCCTGAGAAAGATGATGGTGAATTAGGACCTGCCTTGTTCAGGAGATCATGAGTAAACCTTGCCTGGACCTCACTGAGATCCTAAATACGAGGTGTTTCTGCACCAAGCTGGCAGCATCTGCTGCTCAGAGGTGCTGGTGCTGGCAGGCAGCCTGCAGCCCCGCAGAGCTGCGGGTAACAGCTCGGCGCAGCGAGGCAAGGGTGAGACGAGGAGCTGGGCTGTACCGAGCTGTACTGAGCTCTGCGCAGGAAGGAGGATTAGGAAGAGAGCGCTCGGGCGGTGGCAGAGGTCGTGTTATTTGCTGGGATCTGCTGGGTAAGACGCTGAGCTGCTCTTAGCCAGCATGAGACTTGCTGCGAGTCCTGCCTGGAGCTCGGTCCTGTCCTAGTAAAAGTGCAGCCTGCTCTCTCGTGGATGGGGTGAAGGGAAGCGCGTCTCAAGCGTAGCTTTAGAAGGAGGGCAGGCACGCTAGTCTCCAAGCAGATCAGTCTGTCCCTCTGAATATCTGTCCAGAGAAGTGGAAAGCAAAGAAGTGTCTTGGGACTGAAAGTTGGCTTCACACACCAGAGCAGTTGAAGATCCACATGAAATGCTGCTGCTATCTCCTCCAGCCTTCTGCTCCTCTGCATTTCCCCTCTGATACTCAGAGAGATGGATATTAGGAGAGGAGGCTGCGAGTGCTGGCAGTGCGGCTGAGGTGGGTGGCTGGCATGGAAATTTTCATAGTGAGCTGTGAGATCTGCTTCTCCCTGCTGTACTGCTGTCTGATCTGGCTGTTCCCAGCACTCAGGGGTGTCCGCATCTGCTGTCCTGGCTTGGCAGGAAGAGTCCGGTCCCTCAGCACGCTGCCGCGGTGCTCAGTTGTTCTCCCTGCACGAGGACCCGAGGGCTGGCACTGCCAACCCCTGCCCCGTGTGTGGCAGCAGGCGTTGCATGTAGTAGTTCTGCTGGGTCATGCCACCTGTTTAGAAAGGGGCGAGAGTTTGGGCTCCCAAAACTGGTCCAAGGTACAGGTTTCTCCTTCCCTGCTTCCTCTGCAGCCACCATCGAGGGGCCCAGCCCGGGCTGTTCCTGCAGCAAGCCCGGGGGTGTGTTGGTTGGCAGCCTGGCTCCGTGCCTCTGGCGGGGAGGTTGGGGTAGGTGGCACGGCGAGGGGAGCGATAGTTGTGCGGCTCTATGCCTCTGCCAGACCGCACGCACGGGCTCTATGCTGCCCGGCTGTTACGGCGCAACCACCTCCGCCCTTGTGGCCTCCCAAGGCAGAGTGACCCCAGTCTTCCCCACTTCTCTTCCCAGGCTGTTTGGGTGACACAGCACTGGGACCTACATCAACCCAAAGCTTCAAAACAAAACAACTTGTCCTTTTTTTGGCAAGAGCCAGATTTGGAGAAAGGAGGTGCTGGGGGAGTCCTTTCTGGGGGCTGCGTGGTGAGCAGTGAGGCAGTTGTGGTGGCAGCAGCGTGGCAGGGATCAGGATGAAGGACCGGATGGGGTGCAGCCCCTCAGTCGGGCCCTGTATGCAGATGCTGCGGCGTTTCGTGCCTGTTGCTAAGGAGCTGCGGTTGCCTTTGGCAGCAGAGCTGGCAGATCCAATGCAGAAACTTCATGACATGTGGCCGTCCCCCTCCCGCAGCCCGTGTGGCCTTGTTCGACAGTCAGTTTTCCACCCGCATCCCAACGTGTGTGCAGACAGGCTTGTTAAATGTACTCAACCAGGGATTTTGTTCCAGATGTTCGAGATGACCCCCTTCCTCCAAGGGCAGCTGGCATGCTGATAAAACACTGTGATGCTATAAATAAACCTGTCAGGTCTGCAAGGGAGAAGAGCTTTCAGTTTGAACAGCAGTTTGTTCTAAACAGGAGCCCAAGAGTTTGCTTTCTTCCCTTGGGATGTATGTTGACCCCTGATTTTGGGGAGGAGCTGGAAAATGTAGGTTTCCCTGTTGCTCTCAACCTGATGGAAGAAAGTGCTTCCAGAGGGCAGAGGATGGACCTGCTTGGGAGAGTACTTGGAGAAGATTTTCTGCTCTGCTTTTCTACAGGCACACACCTGCCCAGTCTCCCTTTGGAGACTTCTGCATTTGCTAAAATGAGGACATCCTCTGTGTGTCAGTACTACCTGCACAGACATGCCCCTTCTTGTGCTGGCCTGGGACTCTGGCTAAAATAACTCATGTGCAGCCAAAATAATGGCTCTGGGTCACTATGCCCATGTAGCAGAGCTGACACTCCCCTGTTGTTGCTACAGGTGGAGTTTTTACAGGCTGTGTTTGGGAGCTGGTCCAGCCTTCCTGCAGTGTGGGGCTGCATTGAGGGGGTCTGGGCGTCCTGCCCTGGAAATCAGCTCACCGAAAGGTCAGGGCCAGGAAGGGAGGTACTGTCCCTTCCACTGCTGTCAGTGATTTGGCTGGTTCAGTCTCTTGCAGGGCACAGAGGGCAAGTGCCAGCCTGGGGGAGGAACGGCTGAGCAGCAGATCTTGCTTCTGGACACTAAACGGTGCTAAAGCTTGTTCCACTGCAGAGGGGGCTGCAGGGTGGTCCTGAGCCCCAGCTGGGCTCGTGTGTGGCAGGAGCATTGCCCGCAGGGACAAAGATGGGTCAAACTGTAGCAAGGACTCGGTATTTCACTGGGAGCCTGTCCACAGTCTCCGAGAAGAGAGCTGTGTTGGGTGTGACTTGTGCGATGGGCTGGCAGGCTGCAGGAGGTGGCATGTCCCCCTGGGTCATGGGGAGCAGCAGCCGAGTCCTCTGCGTGCTGGAGGCTGCTGGTGGTGTCAGAGATGCTGCTCGACATGTGTCAGCTCCAGACAAGTCTCTTCCAGGGGCTGGGCTACACGCTGGGTTTTAGTTGAGATGGAAAGCATGAACTACTATTTTAGACAACTCCTCTCCTTCCACGTTAGAGGCCGAATCCCCCTCCTGCCCCTGTGCTGGGCTCTTGGGAAGGAAGAAGATAAAAACCTCCCCAGACAATTGTTAACCTTGTGCCAAACCCGCCACTGCCTCCAGCACTCGGTGTAAGCTCTGCTCTTGCCTCACTGGCTTGTGAAATGCCCAAGACTATTTGTATCTCAAGCACTGACAAGATAGACCCAGAAGGATGGGGACAGCTGAGAATTAATTAGGAGCTGTTGGTTTAATTAGTAGCGTCTCAGTATATTTGTGCATGAGGGCTGGGCGCTGGGGGAGCCGTGTATCTTGTGAGCTTCCAGCCTTCCTGCTTAGAGGACATGAGCCCTTTATGTTGGAGGTTGTACCAGTGTGTTTCTGTGTAAGAGCCATCAGTACAGAAGCCTCATCCTGCTCCTCTTTGGAGTCTCACCTTTCTCGGTGTCCACTTTTCATGGAGCTTTTCTAGGAATTACCCAGTCTCTATGAACTGGTTGAGAGTAACTTGCTTTGTCTGCAGGTCTTGCTAACTCCTAGGCTTTCCATCTTTCCAGCACCATCTGGCCCTGCTTTGCCGGGAGCATTGGTAACCCCCAAACCTGTCGTCTTCATCCAGATCCAGGGCAGGGACTTTACAGGGACAGAAGATCTCAGGCCCTACTAAAACTTGTGCTCTTTACCTCTTGAACCCAGAGGTCTTGCTCCAGGGTGGAGCTGTGGTGCTGTGTGTTGAAGTGGCCTCTTGCTGCTGCCGCAACAGCCCATCGATCTGTCAAGGGCAGGTCCCCACTGCCATCAGCCGGGGAGTCACTGGGGCTCAGGGCGATCCATCACCCCCTTCTCCCAGGGCTGTTTCTGGCCCTGGTGGCTTGTGGGGCCAGAGGAGGTGGCTCTTTCCCAGCTCATGGGAGACTCTCAGTCCCTGCAGCTCTGTGCGTACAGATGGCAACTTGAGGGAATCTAATTAAAACATGGTGATAGCTGCCTGCCGCGGCTCTGGTGGAGAGGGATGAGGAGAGGGGGCTCTGGCTTCCTGTGGCTGGTTTCCATGAAATGAAAACTTACCTGATGCAGACTCGCTCATCTCCCACAGTACTTTCTCCCACTTTGCTCTCCTGTTATCTGGATCCAGGTGTGCACAAGTTTTCCAAAGAGTATCTCAGTCCCTGGGTACCCTTTGAGCCCGTTACAATCACATGCTCTGGTCCCTTGTGCTGACACAGGGGATGGCTTTGCCATCCATCTCATCCCATGCCCGCAGGGCTGGGCACCCCTTTCCCTGCAGCAGGGACGGCTGGACCCTCTGCATCCAACAGACATGGCCAAGCCTGTGTGCTGGCAAAAACCCAGGGCTGTTTGTAAGTTCCAGTTCAGAGCTCAGTCATCAGCTCTTCTTCTGTCTTGCAGAGCAAGAAGAATGATGGGACAGTCCGTTTGTCCTGTGTAAGCTGCTGCCAAATGCAAGAGCTGCCACCTCTGACTGTTGTAGCTTTTTGTTGCTTCCTCTCCCACCCCAGAAAACCTAAACCAACCAAGCTGTTGGCATCTTCTTCCCCCCGCCTGCTGTCTGTTGCCTGTACCTGTTGCAGCGGGTGTCTGACACAGATGGGACTTGAAGCTGGAGGGGGTCGCTTGGGACTGGGGCTGTCCCTGCTGCTAAGTGCAGGGTGGCTGGTGACACTCCGCTTGCCCAGCACATGACTGGATTTTGGAAGTAGGGATGTGCATGTACAACCTGCTTCTGGCAGGGGAGGGGGATTGTGTCCTCTGCTTTCCTCTCACCCGAGGTGCAACACCAGCTCCCCCAAGAAGGGCGGCTCACTGGGTCACCAGAGAAAGTAATTGGAAGTCTATGGCTGCTCTCCTTAAATCACCTTGGAAGAAGGCAGACGTGCCCAGCTCCTGGCATCTCTATTTTTACTTTGTGCAGAGATGGATCTGGCTGAGCTGTCTCCTTTTATTTCCAGCGTTTGGCGTGTGCTGTAGCGCATTGCTAAAGATGTGTCTGCTGGATGCGAAGCTGCCCGCTTCCCTGAATCCCCGGGGGACTGCAGAGGTGAAGGGCTCTTGTCTTCTGTGTGGCTTTGTAATTCATTTCTTCTCTGGTGCTCTTTGCCTCCCCCTTCCAGTTCCCTTACAGGTTTTGGCCTTTCTTTTTATTTATTTATTCAAAGCAGCCTGGGTAAACAGGGAGCAGGAGTGTGGTGACTGGGGCCACTGGTAGCACTGGATTCCAGAGACGTTTTTATTGGGTTTCTAATAACTGGAACTGGCCTGTTCTGACGTAGAAAGTTTTCTTCTTTGCTCTATCTGCAGCTTGGCACAGAGATTCCCTTGGAAAGGCTCAGACTGCTCATTTCCCTTCCCGACAGTCGGGCTGAGAAGCTTTGCACCTCAGGTGGCTCCAGTTGCAGCAGCTCTGATGGTGCCAGTTTGCCAGACCTGTCCCGCCGACACCGTTTTTAGCTTGCAGCTGCCCCCAGCGCTACGTGCCCAAGTTGTGTCTGTCAGCTGCCCCGTGTCCTTCCTCCTGCTCGTGGGCAGGAGCCCGTACGCAACAGCCGGGCAAGTGCCCAGTATCTTCTTCTACCCATGGGATGCTCGTGGAGAGGCTGATTTCATGGTTAGGTTCTCCAAAACCTGGTTAGGAACAAGGTGAACTGATTGACCTGTTGAACCAGGCCCCTCTGAAACCTCCTGGATAACCTGAGCAGCTGCCAGGCTTTCCTGCTGTGGCTGCAGGTATGAAACGGGAGGGCTCTCTGGCTGTCCTGGACTCACTGCCCACCCTGTGGGGGCCTGGGGATCTGCTGCCTCCTCCAGGAACCTGAGGGGGTGAGCTGGGACATGCGATCCCCGTATCCAGTCACAGCCCTGCTCCCAGCCATGGGACAATGCATCTGCTTGGCGCTGTCATTCGTCTCATTTCTCCCCCAGTGAGACGGGGGAAGCTTGTGTTTCTGGAGTAGGTTTGGAGAAGATGCTCCATAAAAAAATCCTCTGCCGCTTGAACTACTCTGAGTCTTGTCCTTGTATTACATCTGGTGACTTGGTGTGCCTGGTAGCAGTATACTGGCAACTTTGGAGAGTGTAGAGGATAAGAGAGTTTCTCCGCTGCTGTGAAATGGCCTTCAAGCTTTTTGGCTTGAAATGTTGCTTTCTGCCCCTTCAGTTGCCCTCATGCACCTGGAATGGCAACCCCAGGGTATGTGATGGTCAGGAATGTGGCTGGAGAGGGCTGCCCTAGGTGGGGACGCAGGACTGGGATGCCCAAGAGACCCGGAGCTCTGCATCCAGGAATTGTCTGTCTTCTGTAGGCACAGGCTGGCTGTGGCCACACCAGTGTGGGATGTCGGTGGTTAATTGAGAAGTCCTGGAGCTGACGGCTCCTGTGCCTGCAATGGAGAGCTCGTGGAGAACTCGTTAGCTAGCTGCAGTGAGACTTTTGGACATGGTCTGACTTTAGTCCTAATGGTGGGTTAGAGGGGGGTCCACCAGGCTGCAAACCCACTGCCTTTGGTTGCTGAGTCTGTCTCCTGTGGTAAGGGAGAAGGGCCATAGCGTGTATGTGCTTGAACATGCCCACCCACCCGCCTCCCAGGAACGAGAGTGCCTCAGCACCGCAATGCAGCAAGCGGGCTTGAATTAAAGACCATCATCCCCTTATCTAGGCGTTGCAACAGATGGTGGTGATCTATAAACTTCTGTGGTGAAGGGAGGCTGAGGGGGAGCCTGTTCAGGGGCTGTTGCTCCTGAAGGATGTGAATGTTCTCCAGTTCTCAGTTGGGCTTTTCTCGCTCGCATCTCCTGTGTGAAAATGTGAGAGTGGAGCTTTTGAGCCTGGGCTTGATTTCACTTGAGCCGTCCGAGTTATCTGCACTAATTCAGAGCAGGGCAGGCTCGTGGTGAGCCCAGAGTCGTGCCAGTATGTCCGAGGTGGGACCAAGAGAGCTGGTACCAGTGCCTGGGTACGCAGGATGCCACCCTGCTAAAACCACTCCCTGCTCCTTCTGATGCTGAAACCCCACGTGGTTTGAGGATTGGATGTCAGCTGGGGTGTGCAAGGGGGTTCAATGTTGTGGTTTGCTTTGGAGGGACCTGTGTCACCTCAGACCGGGTGTGCTGTGGTGCAGGCGGCTCCCTTTGCAGGCCACGCTCTCCTTTTCATCCACTGCCTTGGAAGTGCCGATGCACGTTGCAGACACAAACAAGTGAGCCCATGTGTCAGCCTTGCTGCTATGCTGATGTTTGGTTAATGAGAGTTGGCATCTGGAGATGCTTAGCCCTTGCGTATCAAACAGCACTTGGATAGACCTTGGTGTTCAAAGTCATGATCAGGCTGTGAAGGTATTGAAGCAGATCTGATGGGGAGAGGCCATTCTTCGTTGTGGGATTAGAGACCTTAAACCCTGAGGAGCCCATTTCCCCTGAATGCGTGTAGCAAAGCACAGGTTAGGGGGCTGCGGTAAGAACTACGCATTCCCCCTGCAGAAAGGGCTGGGTCTGAGTTTCTTTCTGCCCTGTTTTGAGTCAGTGTGGGGGCCGTCATCCCACTGGCCAGGCAGGTGCTCTGGCGAGCTGTTTGAGGTGGTCGGAAGCAGCATCACTTGCAGCCCTTGGTGTTTGGGTAGGTGGGTGGAGGTGATGAGAACAGCATGGCTGAGGCTCTTGGAGTGGGGAGGAGGAGAGCTCTTAAGCCAATGCAAATTGGCCGCCTGCCTCTCAGGGAGATGCTTCCTGTGAGACACTGCTTGAATGCAGGGGAGCAGATGGGTGAAACAGGAAAAGACTCTCTTCCTGCCACCTTCCAGCCGGCAGAGCTATTCACCTGACAAATTTGGTGGGGGAGTTCTGTGGCATCCACTAAAGCTGTTGCAAAACCTGGTGAGAATCCAGACAGGAGATATTCAGGCTGGGACAGGCCTGAAGGCCCAGTTCATGCCACAGTAGGTCTGCCTGCATCCTCCCTGTGTGGGGGTAGCACCACAGAGCATCTCCTGCTGTTCCACAAGGCCGGTTTGTCTGTCTCTGGTGTCCAGTGTCGACATCGGCTTGATTTCAACCTGCTGTGAATTGGCCAAGACCAACTGAAACTGTCTTGTGGGTAGCTCTTCTGAAAGCCACATAGACCGTCTGAAAGCCACTTTGCTCATTAACGCTTGTCCTGCATGAGGACCTCCAATCGCATTGATAAGCATGTCTCAGCAGCCAGACACCACTTCAAGTGAGTGGGTTTCTCCTGTTAGAGACGCAGGGCTCACAGCAAAGCCACGCAGCGAGGTCTGGAAGCATCTGAGATGCCATCTGACCTTCTCAAAGCAAGGAGAGTAATTTGAGCCATGTTTGTGCTTTGCCTTGGGAAAGTCACCCCAGAACTTGAGGCGCAGCTGGGCTTGTTCATGCTGCACTGGGGATCCACCTCTGCTGCTGCTCCAAACAAGGCTGTACACCTTGTTTAGCTGGCTGATGGGCTTGTGCTGAATGTGTCTCTCCTCCCAGGGCTGGTGGGATGCCCGGCTCCTTGTGGGGTGAGAGGCAGCAGAGCCCTCTGCTGCTCATCCCTGCCTGGACAGGGACACCCGAGTGTATAGGACAGCATCGCTGCCACAAAGGTCTCTGCTGTCAGCCTGAGTGCGGGGGCTGATGCACATATTGGGAGGGGATGTTGCTTCAGTTGAGAGAAAACTAGAGAGGGTTCCATGTTGGGGTGCTGAAATCACCGCAGTGAAGGGCTTTCACAGGCCAAGGAGGCCAGCTCAAGGGCTTCAGTGGCGATAACAGCTGGGAATAGCACTGGGATAGGAGGGAGTGTGCAACAGCGCTGAGAGTAAAGGGAAAACGTGCTTCTGAAATGGAAGTGTGACCCGATTCCTCTGCTCCATTTTTCTACCCTGTGCATGTTTTCATGAGGCACTGCTCCTGCACAAGTCCACATACAGTACTTGAAGCAAGTCTGAACCTGAGGTTTCACTTTCTCCCAGTGCTTACATGTGTGTTTTCCCTCAACAGCTATCAAGGTGAGCTGCGTTGGATCCTGTGGGGTGTCTAACAAGATCAATGACACAGCATGGACTGTGGAGGAGCAATACTTTAACAGCACGCTGTCTCTGGCAGACAAAGGTAAGGTCCACAAGGACATGGTGGAGACCTGTGGCTGTGCTGTTTCCTGCTGGGAGATGGGTGATTCTGAGATGGTCGACAGAAGTGTTTCCCCAAGACTTCAGCATCTTCTCGATATGAAATATCCCTTCGCAGACTGCCTTGGCCTGTGCGCAGAGCATGGGAGCCAAGATTAGAGACTACAAGAGCTTAGAAGGAGCTGTGCAGAGAGGCATTCTGAATAGCTGCAGAACTTGGCAGCCACGCTGCAAACAGCGCTTGCATATCCTCTGGCCCTGATCGACCTGAAACAGGGCTGCCAGCCAGCGACTCCGCTGTTTCAAGACCCTGTGGCTTCACCCTGTTCCGCTTCCTATGGGTGTTGTCTATGGCAGTCACAAAACACTGATCAAAGCTAGTCAATAGAAGCCAGCTGCAGGCCAGAAGTAGTTTGCACCGAAAGGGATGTGGAGGTGTCCCTTGTCCTCCAAGCGGAACGGCCTAGGATGGTTACCAGCACACACCCTCGCAAGCCAAGATGTCCAGAGATAGCGACAGGGTTGTATTATCCTGTGGGGTAAAGTGACACCAGCAGCCTCTGGGGAATCTGGGCTTGAATGAATGCTGTCTTTCTGCTGTTAAATAGGTCAGTCTCACCACAAATAATTCATGCTGTTCCCTGGCTCCTGTTGAAATCAAGAAGTGCCAGTATTCACCTGCTGAAGGGGGTGGCTGTAGCGGTAGCTGTAACATGGCAAAAGCCCAGGCTAGCAGGAGCTCAGCACTCTGGTGCTGTTCTACCTAATAACAGGAAATGGGTAAAACCGAAGTGGCAGTTTCTGCTAGCTCAGCAATTTTTCAAGCAGAGCTTTTAGCGTCGAGGGGAGACTGACCTCATCCTCGCAGCAACTGGAGAGAGCGCTGCTTGCTCTCCGGGCCCGGAGAAGGGAGACAGCTGGCTGGCTCACCCCTCGGCTTGGCTCAAAGCCTGGGGGCTGCAGTTGGAGGTAAACTGCCTGGGAGGGCAATGAGAAATGTTCCTGCCTGAGTTTGGATGTGGCGCTGAGCTCTGCCAGAGAGCCCAGCTGTGAATGTCGGGGAGCAATGTCCCAGAGGCTTTATAAATAAGGTGCTGCAGGCCATTGAGCTTAGGTGAGTCGGGAGCTGGAGGCTGCGAATGTTTGTGGACTTCTGCAGAGTTTTAAACCTGCAACTACGCTGAAAAATGTACCTTCCAGCTTTTGTTTCTAGTATTTAATGATTCAAGGGAGAGCTGTGGTTGGTTTTGTCCTGGTAAAGCTGAGCAGTGGCAAAAGCCAACCAGGAGGTAGGAGTGGGAAGAGGTGGGTGTGCTGTTTGTTGGTGTTGCAGCCCCTGGGGAGATTTTGATAGCTGCTTCGGCAGTCATTTCTTCTGAGGTTGCCCTTGGGAGCCATCCCCTTGACAGATAGGGCCAGTGTGGACTGGGAAGGCTGGAAAGAAAATGCGTTGATGGCTACATGCTTTCATGGCTCTGAAGTGTCCCCTTTGAAGGCCTGAAATCCAAAGACGGCCAAAATGTGGTATTCTCAGCTCTTTAACTGTTCATGGAAAGCTTTAGTCTTTCGGTTCTTAATTTTCTAGGACCCAGACCCTTTAGTATCGCCCAGTGCAATGCTGCTGTCTGTCAACCCACCAGTACTACGGATTCTGCCAGCCTGAGACTTGAGCGGGCGCCCGGCGCTGGGGCGGCAGGGCTGGGCTGCTCGCTCTGTGCTGGAGCCGGTTGCGGAGCTGGCAGCTGCCCAGCTGCATGCCTGGGGTGAGATGGGGGCAAAATGGGCCAGCTGAAGTCTTCCAGAGCTACCGCAGCTCCAGGCAAGCGAGGCGAGAAATGGTAGTGCGTGACTTATCAGATGTAAAGAATTGAAGGGAAAATACGTCCTGTAGGACTATATAGAGTCCTGCGCTCGAAAGCTGAGGTGTGTTGTAGTGTCAGTACTGTCCTGTCTTGCGAATCTACAGTGCAATTACGGGGAAAAGCCTGGTCCCAGCTACCGGCAATCAATCCGGAGCAGTGTGCCAGGTACTTACAGTCACTGACCTGTGCTCTTCTGCCTTTTCTGTCAAAGTGGACACAACCGCTGGGAGCTCTCGGCGTCTGGCTCCCAGCTGCCAGGAGGCAGATGGGGAGAGGGCAGGCAGTCCCTGTGCATGGGATCGCAGCCGAGAGCAGCGCTCGTGGGGCATTTGCTCTTTGTGCCGCTGGTACGAGCTCAGGAGTTACTTCCTGGACTTGCTGTGTTTGTCCCATGCCTGTCTTCCCATGCCACAGGGACGCAGGGGAGCGAGCGATGGGGCGTGGGTGGGAGAGTGCAGTGTCGCTGCTGCCTTTTGGACCAGAGTCTTCCACCAGAGACAGTTTTGAAACTGTCCAGTGCAATTGCTGCACTGGGCTGTGTGGATATGGAAACAAAAGCCCTGGGGGCTGGCACCGCTCCAGCGACGGGGAAGCGAGATAAACTGGTTGCCGTGGCAGCCCTCGCCGTGACATTGATGCATGTCCTGGCCGGTGGAGCAGCAGGGGAGCCAGGCTGCTTCTCTGTGCCTCTCCAGGGGATTCGTGCAATGGCCATGTGGACACGAGCAGCAGGGCAGGCCTCCGTGCTGACTCAGCCACGGTGTTTTTAGGCTCCCCAGGAATAGCTCTCAGCTGCCCCGGCCTTTCCTGAACAGAGCGTGAAGGAGCTTCAGATGGACAGACTGTCCCTTGGTGCCTGCTCTGCTCAAAGCAGAGCTGTCCCTTTCCCTGTGACTCTGGCCAAGAGCGTTTGGCAGGGACAGGCTGCTCCAGTGTCTGGCTGCAAAGCGGTTTGGGGTGCAGCTGCCTCTGGGGGTGGGTGCTCCCCAGGGTGCCTCCATGCAGGTCTGACACCCACCTGGGAGGGGAAACTGAGGCAGGCTTGTTCTCCTGGGGCATGGGGCGTGGAGTTGGACCATGGTGTCCGATGGGTGATGGCGGGAGCCCAGGGTGCGGGTGAGTTCAGGG